TCATAGACCCCCCTATAGACCTCCCCAGGCCCCCCCCCCTCTCCCATAGACCCCCTATAGACCCCCCTCTCCCCATAGACCCCCTATAGACCCCCCCCCTCCCCATAGACCCCCTATAGACCCCCTCTCCCTTCCCCATAGACCCCCTATAGACCCTCCTCTCCCCATAGGACCCCCTATAGACCCCCCTCTCCCCATAGACCCCCTATAGACCCCCTCTCCCCATAGACCCCCTATAGACCCCCCTCTCCCCATAGACCCCCTATAGACCCCCCTCTCCCCATAGACCCCCTATAGACCCCCCTCTCCCCATAGACCCCCTACCCCTCTCCCATAGACCCCCTATAGACCCCCCTCTCCCCATAGACCCCCTATAGACCCCCTCTCCCCATAGACCCCCTATAGACCCCCTCTCCCCATAGACCCCCTATAGACCCCCTCTCCTATAGACCCCCTATAGACCCCCCTCTCCCCATAGACCCCCTATAGACCCTCCTCTCCCCATAGACCCCTATAGACCCCCCTCTCCCCATAGACCCCCTATAGACCCCCCTCTCACCATAGACTCCTATAGACCCCCCTCTCCCCATAGACCCCCTATAGACCCCCTCTCCCCATAGCCGCCCCCAAGAACTCAGCCGGGCTCGGGGGGGGGGTGAGGGGCAGCGTTTATTGACCCCCATGGGGGTGGTTGTGGGGCTCAGAACCCCCATGGCCCCCCCTGCAGCAGCTCCATGTTAGGGATGGGCTCCTTGATCAGCTCCAGCACCTGGGGCAAGAGTGGAATGAGCTCCCATGAATATTAATGAACCATCATGAATATTAATGAACCACCATGAATATTAATGAGCTCTCATGAATATTAATGAACTCTCAATGATTATTGTATTAATGAGCTCTCATGAATATTAATGAACTCTCAATGATTATTGATGAGCTCTCATGAATATCGATGAGCTCTCTTGAATATTAGTGTGCAGGAATGAAGTGTTGGATATCGACGTGAGGCTATGAATATTACAGAGCGCCACCGAATATTAATGAATGCTAATGAATATTAATGAGCGCTGATGAATATTGATGTCTGTTTATGAACACGAGCTAATGAGCACTAATGAATATCAAGGAGCGCTAACGAATATTGATGAGTGTTCATGAATGTTAATGAGTGCTAATTAATGTTGATGATCGCTGTTGGGTGTTAATGAGAGTTAATGAATGTTGATGAGAGCTTCTGAGCGTTAATGAGAGCAAACGAATGTTAATGAGCATTAATGAATATTAATGAGAGTTGGTGACTATTAATTTTACATCAATGAGTGTTAATGAGCAATACTGAAAGTGAGTGTTAATTAACGTTAATGAGAGTTACTGAATGGTAATGAGCGTTAATGATAGTCAATGAGTATTAATTAGCGCTAATGAACGTTAATGATTGTTTATAAAGGTTAATGAGTGTTAATGAGCATTAATGAATATTGATGAGTGTTAATGAACGTTAATGGAAGGCAATCCATTGATCAATACCAATGAACATAAACGTGTGAATGAATATGAATGAGCGTTAATGAATATTTTTGAGTGTTAATGAGCACTAATGAGTGTTAATGAGCACTAATGAATGTTAATTAGCGCCAATGAATGTTACTGAGCGTTAATGAGCCCATAACCATCCACTAATAAACCCGCTAATGAGCACCATATGCAACTTCCTATGAACCAGCTAATTAATCGCCTAATAGCCTGTAATTAACACCATAATTAGCCCATAATTAGCCCATAATTAACGCCAGTTAACCCCTAATAAACCACCAACGAAGACCTCGTTACTTCTTAACTACCCCGCTAATTACCTTTGAATTACCCCATTAAACCTGATTACCTCTTAATTACCCATAATAAACCTCCATTTAACCCTTTATTAACCCCAATAAACCCCTAATTAGCTCTTAATTACCCCGAATAAACCCTAATTACCACTTAATTACCGCAATGAACCCCTAATTACCCTCAACCCCTCAATACTCCTTAATTACCCCAATAAAATCCTAATTACCCTATACCCTTAATTACCCATTAATTACACCCAATAACCCCTAAATACCCGCTAATTACCCCCAGTAACACCCTAATTACCCTAACCCCCTCATTAGCCCTTAATTACCCCAATAAACTCCTAATTACTCTAAAACCCTCATTACCCCTTAATTAATCCCAATAAACAACCTATTACCATTTAATTACCCCATTAAACCCCTAATTACCCTAAACGCCTCATTACCCCTTAATTAACTCAATAAACCCCTAATTACCCCTTAATTACCCCAATAAACCCCTAATTACCCTAAACCCCTCATTACCCCTTAATTATGCCCGGCAAACCACTAATTACCACAAAAAACCCTAATTACCCCTTTATTGCCCCAATAAACCCCTAATTACGCTAAACCCCTCATTACCACTTAATTACGCCCAACAAACCACTAATTACCCTAAACCCCTCATTACCCCTTAATTACCCCCTATAAACCCCTAATTACCCTAAACCCCTAATTACCACTTAATTAACCCCAATAAACCCCTAATTATCCCTTAATTACCACAATAAACCCCTAATTACCCTCAACCCATTACCCCTTAATTACCCCAATAAACCCCTAATTACCCTAAACCCCTCATTACCCCTTAATTACGCCCAGCAAACCCCTAATTACCCTAAACCCCTAATTACCCCTTAATTACCCCAATAAACCCCTAATTACCCCTTAATTACCCCAATAAACCCCTAATTACCCTAAACCCCTCATTACCCCCTAATTACGCCCAACAAACCCCTAATTACCCTAAACCCCTAATTACCCCTTAATTACCCTAAACCCCTCATTACCCCGTAATTACCCCAATAAACTTCTAATTACCCTAAACCCCTCATTACCCCTTAATTACCCCCAATAAACCCCTAATTACCCTAACCCCCTAATTACCCCTTAATTACCCCAATAAACCCCTAATTACCCCTTAATTACCCAATAAACCCCTAATTACCCCAACCCCTGATAACCCCTTAATTACCCCAATTACCCCCGAATTGCCCCTTAATTAACCCCTCATTACCCCTAATTACCCCCCTATTATACCCAACAGCAAAGACCCCACCACCCCCCCCGACTGAATGTGGGGCACGGAAAGATGCTGAGAGCCCGGTGTGCGGTGCCGTGCGGGCTCATTTGCATAAGGGGTGGTGCCGTGCGGGCTCATTTGCATAAGGGGCAGCGCCATGCGGGCTCATTTGCATAAGAAGCATTGCCTTGAGGGCTCATTTGCATAAGAGGCAGTGCCGAGTTGGCTAATTTGCATAAGGGGCGGTGTCGTGCTGGCCCAGTTGCATAAGAGGCGTGGCCGCACGGGCTCATTTGCATAAGGGGCGGTGCCGTGTGGTCTCATTTGCATGAGAGGCAGTGCCATGCAGGCTCATTTGCATAAGAGACGTTGCCGTGCGGTCTCATTTGCATAGGGGGCGGTGCAGTGCGGTCTCATTTGCATAGGGGGCGGGGCCGTACCTGCCGGAAGCGGGGGTGGGCGCTGTCCCGCAGCAGCCCCAACAGGAGGCTCTCGCTCGTGCCCAGGAAGGCGCCGCTGGCCTGGAGCCGATGCAGGGCCACGGCCCGCTCCATGGGGCTGCCCCATAGCAGGGAGACCCATGGAACCCATTGGGACCCATAGAGACCCATTGACACCCATTGGAACCCATTGACACCCAATGGAAGCCATTGACACCCATTGAACCCCACTGAACACCATTGAGACCCATAGAGACCCATTGACACCCATTGGAACCCATTGACACCCACTGAACCCCACTGAACCCCATTGGAACCCATTGACACCCAATGGAAGCCATTGACACCCATTGAACCCCACTGAACACCATTGAGACCCATAGAGACCCATTGACACCCATTGGAACCCATTGACACCCACTGAACCCCACTGAACCCCATTGACACCCATTGACACCCATTGACACCCATTGGAACCCATTGACACCCACTGAACCCCACTGAACACCACTGAGACCCATAGAGACCCATTGACACCCACTGAACCCCACTGAACCCCATTGACACCCATTCACACCCATTGGAACCCATTGATATCCATTGAACACCACTGAACCCCATTGAGACCCATTGACACCCATTGGAACCTGTTGGAACCCATTGGCGCCCATTGACACCCATTGAACACCACTGAACCCCACTGAGACCCATTGACACCCATTGGAACCCATTGATACCCATTGACACCCATTGAACCCCACTGAACCCTATTGACACCCATTGACACCCATCGAACGACACTGAACCCCATTGAGACCCGTTAGAACCCATTGACACCCATTGGAACCCATTGACACCCACTGAACCCCACTGAACCCCATTGACACCCATTGACACCCATTGGAACCCATTGACACCCACTGAACCCCACTGAACACCACTGAGACCCATAGAGACCCATTGACACCCACTGAACCCCACTGAACCCCATTGACACCCATTCACACCCATTGGAACCCATTGATATCCATTGAACACCACTGAACCCCATTGAGACCCATTGACACCCATTGGAACCTGTTGGAACCCATTGGCGCCCATTGACACCCATTGAACACCACTGAACCCCACTGAGACCCATTGACACCCATTGGAACCCATTGATACCCATTGACACCCACTGAACCCCACTGAACCCCATTGACACCCATTGACACCCATTGACACCCATTGGAACCCATTGACACCCACTGAACCCCACTGAACACCACTGAGACCCATAGAGACCCATTGACACCCACTGAACCCCACTGAACCCCATTGACACCCATTCACACCCATTGGAACCCATTGATATCCATTGAACACCACTGAACCCCATTGAGACCCATTGACACCCATTGGAACCTGTTGGAACCCATTGGCGCCCATTGACACCCATTGAACACCACTGAACCCCACTGAGACCCATTGACACCCATTGGAACCCATTGATACCCATTGACACCCATTGAACCCCACTGAACCCTATTGACACCCATTGACACCCATCGAACGACACTGAACCCCATTGAGACCCGTTAGAACCCATTGACACCCATTGGCACCCATTGAGACCCTTTGAGACCCATTGGAACCCATTGACACCCATTGGCACCCATTGAGACCCTTTGAGATCCATTAGAACCCGTTGGAACCCACTGACACCCATTGACACCCATTGGAACCCATTGACACCCATTGGAACCCATTGACACCCACTGACACCTACTGGAACCCCTTGACACCCATTGGAAACCATTGGAACCCATTGACTCCCATTGAACCCCACTGAACCCCATTGAGACCCATTGACACCCATTGGAACCCATTGACACCCATTGGAACACATTGGAACCCATTGACACCCATTGAACCCCACTGAACCCCATTGAGACCCATTGACACCCATTGACACCCATTGGAACCCATTGACACCCATTGAACCCCACTGAACCCTATTGACACCCATCGAACCCCACTGAACCCCATTGGAACCCATTGACACCCAATGGAAGCCATTGACACCCATTGAACCCCACTGAACACCATTGAGACCCATAGAGACCCATTGACACCCATTGGAACCCATTGACACCCACTGAACCCCACTGAACCCCATTGACACCCATTGACACCCATTGACACCCATTGGAACCCATTGACACCCACTGAACCCCACTGAACACCACTGAGACCCATAGAGACCCATTGACACCCACTGAACCCCACTGAACCCCATTGACACCCATTCACACCCATTGGAACCCATTGATATCCATTGAACACCACTGAACCCCATTGAGACCCATTGACACCCATTGGAACCTGTTGGAACCCATTGGCGCCCATTGACACCCATTGAACACCACTGAACCCCACTGAGACCCATTGACACCCATTGGAACCCATTGATACCCATTGACACCCATTGAACCCCACTGAACCCTATTGACACCCATTGACACCCATCGAACGACACTGAACCCCATTGAGACCCGTTAGAACCCATTGACACCCATTGGAACCCATTGACACCCACTGAACCCCACTGAACCCCATTGACACCCATTGACACCCATTGGAACCCATTGACACCCACTGAACCCCACTGAACACCACTGAGACCCATAGAGACCCATTGACACCCACTGAACCCCACTGAACCCCATTGACACCCATTCACACCCATTGGAACCCATTGATATCCATTGAACACCACTGAACCCCATTGAGACCCATTGACACCCATTGGAACCTGTTGGAACCCATTGGCGCCCATTGACACCCATTGAACACCACTGAACCCCACTGAGACCCATTGACACCCATTGGAACCCATTGATACCCATTGACACCCATTGAACCCCACTGAACCCTATTGACACCCATTGACACCCATCGAACGACACTGAACCCCATTGAGACCCGTTAGAACCCATTGACACCCATTGGAACCCATTGACACCCACTGAACCCCACTGAACCCCATTGACACCCATTGACACCCATTGACACCCATTGGAACCCATTGACACCCACTGAACCCCACTGAACACCACTGAGACCCATAGAGACCCATTGACACCCACTGAACCCCACTGAACCCCATTGACACCCATTCACACCCATTGGAACCCATTGATATCCATTGAACACCACTGAACCCCATTGAGACCCATTGACACCCATTGGAACCTGTTGGAACCCATTGGCGCCCATTGACACCCATTGAACACCACTGAACCCCACTGAGACCCATTGACACCCATTGGAACCCATTGATACCCATTGACACCCATTGAACCCCACTGAACCCTATTGACACCCATTGACACCCATCGAACGACACTGAACCCCATTGAGACCCGTTAGAACCCATTGACACCCATTGGCACCCATTGAGACCCTTTGAGACCCATTGGAACCCATTGACACCCATTGGCACCCATTGAGACCCTTTGAGATCCATTAGAACCCGTTGGAACCCACTGACACCCATTGACACCCATTGGAACCCATTGACACCCATTGGAACCCATTGACACCCACTGACACCTACTGGAACCCCTTGACACCCATTGGAAACCATTGGAACCCATTGACTCCCATTGAACCCCACTGAACCCCATTGAGACCCATTGACACCCATTGGAACCCATTGACACCCATTGGAACACATTGGAACCCATTGACACCCATTGAACCCCACTGAACCCCATTGAGACCCATTGACACCCATTGACACCCATTGGAACCCATTGACACCCATTGAACCCCACTGAACCCTATTGACACCCATTGACACCCATCGAACACCACTGAACCCCATTGAGACCCACTGGAACCCATTGACACCCATTGGCACCCATTGAGACCCTTTGAGACCCATTGGAACCCATTGACACCCATTGGCACCCATTGAGACCCTTTGAGACCCATTGGAACCCATTGACACCCATTGGCACCCATTGAGACCCTTTGAGACCCGTTAGAACCTGCTGGAACCCATTGACATGCATTGACACCCATTGGAACCCATTGACACCCATTGGAACCCATTGACACCCACTGACACCCACTGGAACGCATTGACACCCATTGAACCCCACTGAACCCCATTGAGACCCATTGACACCCAGTGGAACCCATTAACACCCATTGGAACCCATTGACACCCACTGACACCCATTGGAACCCACTGACACCCATTGACACCCATTGGAACCCATTGACACCCACTGACACCCATTGGAACCCACTGACACCCATTGACACCCATTGGAACCCACTGACACCCATTGGAACCCACTGGAACCCATTGGAACCCATTGACACCCATTGGAACCCACTGACATCCATTGACACCCATTGACACCCATTGGAACCCGCTGACACCCATTGACACCCACTGGAACCTGTTGACACCCACCGAGCCCCATGGATCCCATTGCCCCCATTGCTCCCCATTGCCCCCCATGCCCCATAGCTCCCCATAGCTCCCCCATTGCCCCCACCTGCGCGAGGAGCAGGCATCCACGGCCACGTGCACATCCAGGCCCCGCTCCAGTAGGTCCAGGGCTGTTTGCTATGGGGGGAAGGAAAGGGGGGGCCCATTGACCCCATATCCATCCCCATTGACCCCATATCCATCCCCATTGACCCCATATCCACCCCATTGACCCCATATCCATCCCCATTGACCCCATATCCACCCCATTGACCCCATATCCAGTCCCATTGACCCCATATCCATCCCCATTGACCCCATACCCATCCCCATTGACCCCATATCCACCCCATTGACCCCATATCCATCCCCATTGACCCCATATCCACCCCATTGACCCCATATCCATCCCCATTGACCCCATATCCAGTCCCATTGACCCCATATCCACCCCATTGACCCCATATCCATCCCCATTGACCCCATATCCATCCCCATCGACCCCATATCCAGTCCCATTGACCCCATATCCATCCCCATTGACCCCATATCCATCCCCATCGACCCCATATCCAGTCCCATTGACCCCATATCCACCCCATTGATCCCATATCCATCCCCATTGACCCCATATCCACCCCATTGACCCCATATCCATCCCCATTGACCCCATATCCACCCCATTGACCCCATATCCATCCCCATTGACCCCACATCCACCCCATTGACCCCATATCTACCCCATTGACCCCACATCCATCCCCATTGACCCCATATCCATCCCCATTGACCCCATATCCACCCCATTGATCCCATATCCATCCCCATTGACCCCATATCCACCCCATTGACCCCATATCCATCCCCATTGACCCCATATCCACCCCATTGACCCCATATCCATCCCCATTGACCCCACATCCACCCCATTGACCCCATATCTACCCCATTGACCCCACATCCATCCCCATTGACCCCATATCCATCCCCATTGACCCCATATCCACCCCATTGACCCCATATCCATCCCCATTGACCCCATATCCACCCCATTGACCCCATATCTACCCCATTGACCCCACATCCATCCCCATTGACCCCATATCCATCCCCATTGACCCCATATCCACCCCATTGACCCCATATCCATCCCCATTGACCCCATATCCAGTCCCATTGACCCCATATCCACCCCATTGACCCCATATCCATCCCATTGACCCCATATCCATCCCCATTGACCCCATATCCACCCCATTGACCCCATATCCATCCCCATTGACCCCATATCCAGTCCCATTGACCCCATATCCACTCCATTGACCCCATATCCATCCCCATTGACCCAATATCCAGTCCCATTGACCCAATATCCAGTCCCATTGACCCCATATCCACTCCATTGACCCCATATCCATCCCCATTGACCCCATATCCAGTCCCATTGACCCCATATCCATCCCCATTGACCCCATATCCATCCCCATTGACCCAATATCCAGTCCCATTGACCCCATATCCACCCCATTGATCCCATATCCATCCCCATTGACCCCATATCCAACCCATTGACCCCATATCCATCCCCATTGACCCCATATCCATCCCCATTGACCCCATATGCATCCCCATTGACCCAATAACCAGTCCCATTGACCCCATATCCACCCCATTGACCCCATATCCATTCCCATTGACCCCATATGCATCCCCATTGACTCCATATCCAGTCCCATTGACCCCATATGCATCCCCATTGACCCCATATCCAGTCCCATTGACCCCATATGCATCCCCATTGACCCCATATCCAGTCTCATTGACCCCATATGCATCCCCATTGACCCCATATCCAGTCCCATTGACCCCATAGCCATCCCCATCAAGCCCATATACAGTCCCATTGAGCCTATATTTGGTCCCCATTGACCCCATATCCAGCCCACATTGACCCCCAAATCCATCCTCATTGACCCCATACCCTGTCCCATTGACCCCATACCCATCCCCATTGACCCCATATCCAGTCCATATTGACCCCCAAATCCATCCTCATTGACCCCCATATCCATCCCCATTGACCCCATATCCATCCCCATTGACCCGATATCTATCCCCATTGACCCCATATCCAGTCCCATTGACCCCATATCTATCCCCATTGACCCCATATCCATCCCCATTGACTCCATATCCACCCCATTGACCCCATATCCACCCCATTGACCCCATATCCAGCCCCTTTGACCCCATATCCATCCCCATTGCTCCCCATCCCGTGTTCCCCCCCCACCCCCATTGCCCCATCACCATTGCCCCCAACACCTAACTGCCATCCCCATTCCCCCCACAGCCCCACAACCCCATCACCCCCATTATCACCATTGCCCCCCATTACCCCCGTTGCACCCATCACCCCCATTGCCCCATTAACCCCATTATTCCCATTCCCCCCATTACCACCATCATGCCCCATTCATCCCATTGTCCTCATTGCTCCCATTGCCCCTCTTGCCCCCACACCCCATTATCCCCATCATCCCCATTGCCCCCATTACCCCCATTTCCTGCATTGGCCCCATCACCCCCATTCCCCCAATCACCCCCATTCTCCCATTCTCCCCAATGCCCCCATTGTCCCCATCACCCCAATCACCCCCATTACCCCATCACCCCATTCCCCCATTCCCATTACTACCATTACCCCCATTACCCCATTACCCCTTTGAATCCATCACCCCATTACCCCATCACCCCATTACCATTGCCCCATTACCCCCATTGCTCCCATTACCCCCATTACCCAGTCATCCCCATTACCCCATGCCCCCATTACCCCATTTCCCCTATTCCCCCATCACACCCATTACCCCATTGACCCCATTACCCAATTACCCCCATTACCCCATTGACCCCCATCACCCCATTACCCCCATCACCCCATTTCCCCTATTGCCCTCATTACCCCATCACCCCCATCACCCCATTGACCCCCATCACCCCATTACCCCCATCACCATTACCCCATCATCCCCATTACCCCCATCACCCCCATGACCCCCATTACCCCCATTGCCCTCATTACTCCCATTACCCCATTGACACCCATTACCCCCATTGCCCCCATTACTCCCATTGCCCCCATTACCCCACTGACCCTCATTACCTCCATCACCCCCATTCCCCCTATTACCCCATCACCCCCATTACCCCATTGACCCCCATTACCCCATCACCCCCATTACCCCATTGACCCCCATTACCCCCATTACCCCATTGCCCCCCATCACCCATATTACCCCAACACCCCCATTATCCCCATTACCCCCATCAACCTCATTCCCCCATCACCCCCATTGCCCCCATCACCCCCATTACCCCCATCACTCCCATTACCCCATCACCCCCATTGCCCCCATTCCCCCATCACCCCCATTACCCCATCACCCCCATTCCCCCCTCACCCCCATTCCCCCATCACCCCCATTACCCCATCACCCCCATTCCCCCATCACCCCCATACCCCCATCACCCCCATTCCCCCATCACCCTTATTCCCCCATCACCCCCATTACCATCACCCCCATTCCCCCATCACCCCCATTCCCCCATCACCCTCATTACCCCCTCACCCCCATCGCCCCCATTACCCCCATTCCCCCATCACCCCCATTACCCCCATCACCCCATCACTCCCATTACCCCCATCACTCCCATTCCCCCATCACCCCCATACCCCCATCACCCCCATTCCCCCATCACCCCCATTCCCCCCTCACCCCCCTCGCCCCCCTCGCCCCTCACCAGCACGCAGGCCTGCGCCTCGATGCCGCACAGGAGGACGGCGCTGAGGTGGGGGTGGGCGCTGAGCTGGGCCCCCAGCACCGGGACCCCACTAAAGGAGCTCTTGGGGTGCGGGGTCAGATCCTGCACCCCCAGCTCGGGGACCGTGGGGCCCAGAGCCTCCGGGCGCTGCTCGGTCACCAGCACCGGCACCCCCAGCACCTGGCAGCCCTGGGGGGCAATGGGGGTTAATGGGGGTTAATGGGGGCAATGGGGGGCAATGGGGGGCAAGGGGGGGCAATGGGGGTAAATAGGGGCAATGGGGGGCAATGGGAGCTAATGGGGGCAATAGGGGGCAATGGGGATTAATGGGGGTTAATGGGGGCAATGGGGGTTAATGGGGGCAATGGAGGCAATGGGGATTAATGGGGGTGAATGGAGGCAATGGGGGTTAATGGGGGACAATGGAGGCAATGGGGATTAATGGGGGTGAATGGAGGCAATGGGGGTTAATGGGGGCAATGGAGGCAACGGGGGTTAATAGGGGCAATGGGGATTAATGGGGGGTAATGGGGGTTAATGGGGCTTAATGGGGGCAATGAGGGTTAATGGGGGTAAATAGGGGGCAATGGGGGTTAATGGGGGTTAATGGGGGGCAATGGGGGTTAATAGGGGGCAATGGGGGTTAATGGGGGCAATGGGGGTTAATGGGGGGCAATGGAGGCAATGGGGGTTAATAGGGGCAATGGGGGTTAATGGGGGTGAATGGAGGCAATGGGGGTTAATGGAGGGCAATGGGGGCAATGGGGGTTAATGGGGGCAATGGGGGCAATGGGGGTTAATGGGGGCAATGGGGGTTAATGGGGGTTAATGGGGGCAATGGGGGTTAATGGGGGTAAATGGGGCAATGGGGGTTAATGGGGGGCAATGGGGGTTAATGGGGGGCAATGGAGGCAATGGGGGTAAATAGGGGGCAATGGGGGGCAACAGGGGGCAATGGGCCTGGATATGGTGGCAATGGGGATGAATATAGGGTCAATAGGGATGGATGTGGGGTCAATGGGGATGGATATGGGGGTCAATGGGGATGGATATGGGGTCAATGGGGATGGATGTGGGGTCAAAGGGGACTGGATATGGGGGCAATGGGGACTGTATGTGGAGTCAATAGGGACTGGATATGGGGTCAGCGGGCATGGGTATGGGATCAATGGGAGCACATATGAGTGTCCAGGTGTTGGGGGGTTTCTATGTGTCCCATAGGGCTTTATGGGTGCTATGGGGTCTGTATGGGTCTCTACAGGGTCTCTGTGGTCTCTATGGGTCTCTATTGGTATCTATGGTTCTCTATGGTCTCTATGGGTCCCTATGTGTCTCTATGGGGTCCCTATGGGTCCCTATGGGTCCCTATGGGTCTCTATGGGTCCCTATGGGTTGCTATGGGTCCTTATAGGTCTCTATGGTCTGTATGGTCTCTGTGGGCCTCTATGGGTCTCTATGGGTCTCTATGGGTCTCTATAGGTCTCTATGGGTCTCTATGGGTCCCTATGGGTCTCTATGGGTCTCTATGGGTCTCTATGGGTCTCTATGGGTCTCTATAGGTCTCTATGGGTCTCTATGGGTCCCTATGGGTCTCTATGGGTCCCTATGGGTCTCTATGGGTCTCTATGGGTCTCTATGTGTCTCTATGTGTCTCTATGTGTCTCTATGGGTCTCTATGGGTCTCTATGGGTCTCTATGTGTCTCTATGGGTCTCTATGGGTCCCTATGGGTCTCTATGGGTCTCTATGGGTCTCTATGGGTCTCTATGTGTCTCTATGGGTCTCTATGGGTCCCTATGGGTCCCTATGGGTCTCTATGGGTCTCTATGGGTCTCTATGTGTCTCTATGGGTCTCTATGTGTCTCTATGGGTCTCTATGGGTCTCTATGTGTCTCTATGTGTCTCTATGGGTCTCTATGTGTCTCTATGGGTCTCTATGTGTCTCTATGTGTCTCTATGGGTCCCAGTGTGTCTCTATGTGTCTCTATGTGTCTCTATGTGTCTCTATGGGTCTCTATGGGTCTCTATGTGTCTCTATGGGTCTCTATGGGTCCCAGTGTGTCTCTATGTGTCTCTATGTGTCCCTATGTGTCTCTATGTGTCCCTATGTGTCTCTATGTGTCCCTATGTGTCTCTATGTGTCTCTATGTGTCTCTATGGGTCTCTATGTGTCCCTATGTGTCCCTATGTGTCCCTATGTGTCCCTATGTGTCTCTATGTGTCCCTATGTGTCTCTATGTGTCTCTATGGGTCTCTATGGGTCTCTATGGGTCTCTATGTGTCTCTATGTGTCTCTATGGGTCTCTATGGGTCTCTATGTGTCTCTATGTGTCTCTATGTGTCTCTATGTGTCTCTATGTGTCTCTATGTGTCCCTATGTGTCTCTATGTGTCTCTATGTGTCTCTATGGGTCTCTATGGGTCTCTATGGGTCTCTATGGGTCTCTATGGGTCTCTATGGGTCTCTATGGGTCTGGGCACCTTGCGGAGCCGCGCGGCCGCGCTGAGGACGGGGCCGAACGCGTGCACGTGGGGCCGGAAGCGCTCCTGGAGGTCACAGAGCAGCAGCACGGAGCGGGAGGGGCAGAGGCGGCCCAGGCGGGACATGGTCACGTGGTCACCCGTGGGCGGGGTCACCTGTGCGTGGGACACACATGGACACGTGCGTGCGGTGTCACGTGATCACGTGTGTGCAGCGTCACATGATCACACGTATGCAGGACACACATGAACACGTGTGTGCGGTGTCACGTGATCACATGTGTGCAGTGTCACATGATCGCATGTATGCAGGACACACATGAACACCTGTGTGCGGTGTCACGTGAACACATGTGTGCAGAGTCACATGATCACGTGTGTGCGGGACAGACATGAACACATGTGTGCGGTGTCACGTGAACACACGTGCGCAGTGTCACGTGATCACACGTATGCAGGCCACACATGAACATGTGTGTGTGGTGTCGTGTGAACACACATGTGCAGAGTCACGTGATCACGTGTGTGTGGGACATATATGAACACACGTGTGCGGTGTCACGTGAACACATGTGTGTGCAGAGTCACATGATCACATGTATGAGGGACATATATGAACACGTGTGTGCAGTGTCATGTGGAACACACATGTGCAGAGTCACGTGAACACGTGTATGGGACACGCAGGAATGCATGTGTGTGGTTCACGTGAGCACACGTGGGTACAGTGTCATGTGATCACACGTGTGCTGTGCCACGTGATCACACGTGTGTGGGTGAGCCTGGACACGCATGTGTGGTGTCACGTGATCACTTGTGTGCGGGACACGCATGAACACATGCGTGCGGTGTCATGTGAACACACGTGCGCAGTGTCACGTGATCACACGTATGCAGGCCACACATGAACATGTGTGTGCGGTGTCATGTGAACACACGTGCAGAGTCACGTGATCACGTGTGTGCAGGACATATATGAACATGTGTGTGTGGAGTCACGTGATCACATGTGCGGGACATATATGAACACGTGTGTGCAGAGTCATGTGAACACGTGTGTGCGGGACACGCATGAACACGCATGTGGGGGTGCCTCGCAATGTCTCAGTCACGTGACTCGCCCCCTCCCCGCCCCCCCCCAGTCCGCAGCCAATCAGCAGCCCCCAACCACCCCCGCCCACCTCCCCAGCCAATCAGCTTCGCCAAAAAGCCCCCTTCCGCACCTCCCTCCCCATCAGCCAATCAGAGCTGTGCTGGGCGGACTCAACCCATCAACCCCGCCCACCCTCCCGGGAGCCAATCAGAACGGGAGGGGCGCTCTCTGCAGCCAATCAGAGGCCGGGGCGGGCTGTGACGTCGAGCCTTAAAGGGACACGAGCCTTGGGGTGGGGTGGGGGGAGGGGGGGGCAGGGGGGGGTCATGTGGAGGTCACGGAGGGGTCATGACCCCTCCCCACCGCAGTGGGCGGGGCTATTACCTGCGGGCGCCCTCGCGCCGCGCTCTGATTGGATGCGGGGTCACGGCTCCGGCAAACGGGCTCGATGTGGGTGGGAGGAGGCGGGACTTCCGGTGGCGGTGGGCGGGGCCAAGGAGGTGGGCGGAGCTTCGGCAATCTCCGCCTTCCGCTTCGGCGACCTCCGGAAATGGCCCCAAAATGCCCCGAAATTGCCCCAAAACCGACCCCAAGCGGCCCCAAACTGCCCCGAAATGCCCCAAAATCCACCCAAATTGCCCCAAAACCGACCCCAACCGGCCCCAAACTGCCCCGAAATGCCCCAAAATCCACCCAAATTGCCCCAAATTGCTCAAATGAGCCCCAAAGTGGCTTTAATTGTGATGGGAGGCTATGGGGGGGGCACAATGGGGCTGGGGGGATGTATGGGGCTGGGGGGGGTGTATGGGCTGGGGGGATGTATGGGGTTAGAGGGGATGTATGGGGCTGGGGGGGGTGTATGGGGCAGGGGGGATGTATGGTGCTGGGGGGATGTATGGGGCTAGAGGGGATGTATGGGGCTGGGGGGATGTATGGGGTTAGAGGGGATGTATGGGGCTGGGGGGGGTGTATGGGGCTGGAGGGATGTATGGGGTTAGAGGGGATGTATGGTGCTGGGGGGATGTATGGGGCTAGAGGGGATGTATGGGGCTGGGGGGATGTATGGGGTTAGAGGGGATGTATGGGGTGGGGGGATGTATGGGGTTAGAGGGGATGTATGGGGTGGGGGGGAGACGTATGGGGCTAGAGAGGATGTATGGGGCTGGGGGGGTGTATGGGGCTGGGAGGGGTGTATGGGGCTGGGGGGATGTATGGGGTTAGAGGGGATGTATGGGGTTAGAGGGGATGTATGGGGCTGGGGGGATGTATGGGGCTGGGGGGGATGTATGGGGTTAGAGGGGACGTATGGGGCTGGGGGGGGTGTATGGGGTTAGAGGGGATGTATGGGGCTGGAGGCATGTATGGGGTTAGAGGGGATGTATGCGGCTGGAGGCATGTATGGGGGTGGGGGGGGATGTATGGGGCTGGGGGGATGTATGGGGCTTAGAGGGGGTGTATAATGCTGGGGTGGATGTATGGGGTGGGGGGGATGTATGGGGCTGGGGAGGATGTATGGGGTGGGGGGATGGATGGGGTTAGTGGGCATGTATGGGGCTCAGAGGGGATGTATGGGGCAGGGGAGGATGTAAGGGGCTGGGGGGATGTAAGGGGCTGGGGGGTATCTATGGGGCAGAGGGGGCACTTGTGGGGCTGGAATAGTGCCGGGGGGGCGGGGGGGGGGGAGCTCCCCCCATAGTCAAGCGCAGTGATTGCGGGTGGTGGGGGTTGGGTTGCGATGACGTCACGGGGGCGGTGCCAGTGACGTCACGCGATGGCCGTCGTGGGGCAGCGGCTGCTGCTGGCGCTGGTGCTGGGGGGGGCGGCGCTGTGGGGGAGGGGGGGGGCCCCCTTCGAGCTCCGCGAGGCCCTGGGGGGGCTGCGGGGGGAGAACGCGAGGCTCGAGGGGGCCCTGAGGAACCTGAGCAGGGCCCTGGGGCTGCTGCGGCTGAGGGAGCCCCACGGTGAGTGCGGGGGGGACCCCATGGGGGACCCCATTGAGACCCATTGAGATCCTATTGAGACCCATTGAGATCCTATTGATCCCTATTGAGATCCTATTGAGACCCATTGAGACCCATTGATCCCTACTGAGATCCTATTGAGACCCATTGAGACCCATTGAGATCCTATTGAGACCCATTGATACCCATTGAGACCCACTGATCCCCATTGATCCCTATTGAGATCCTATTGAGACCCATTGAGACCCATTGAGATCCCATTGAGACCCACTGATCCCCATTGAGATCCGAGACCCATTGAGACCCATTGAGATCCTATTGAGACCCATTGAGACCCATTGAGATCCTATTGAGACCCATTGAGACCCATTGAGATCCTATTGAGACCCATTGAGACCCATTGAGATCCTATTGAGACCCATTGAGACCCATTGAGATCCTATTGAGACCCATTGAGATCCTATTGAGACCCACTGATCCCCATTGATCCCTATTGAGACCCATTGAGATCCTATTGAGACCCATTGAGATCCTATTGAGACCCACTGATCCCCATTGATCCCTATTGAGATCCTATTGAGACCCATTGAGACCCATTGAGATCCTATTGAGACCCACTGATCCCCATTGATCCCTATTGAGATCCTATTGAGACCCATTGAGACCCATTGAGATCCTACTGAGACCCACTGATCCCCATTGAGATCCGAGACCCATTGAGACCCATTGAGATCCTATTGAGACCCACTGATCCCCATTGATCCCTATTGAGATCCTATTGAGACCCATTGAGACCCATTGAGATCCTATTGAGACCCATTGAGATCCTATTGAGACCCATTGAGACCCATTGAGATCCTATTGAGACCCATTGAGACCCCATTGATCCCAGTGAGACCCCACTGATCCCTATTGAGACCCCATTGATCCCAGTGAGACCCCATTGAAACCCATTGAGACCCCATTGAAACCCATTGAGACCCCATTGATCCCTATTGAGATCCCATTGATACCCATTGATACCCATTGAGATCCTATTGATACCCATTGATCCCCATTGATCCCCATTGAGATCCCACTGAAACTCATTGATCCCTATTGAGATCCCATTGAAACCCATTGATCCCATTGAGATCCCATTGATCCCATTGAGACCCATTGAGATCCTATTGAGACCCATTGAGATCCTATTGACACCCATTGATAGCCATTGAGACCCATTGATCCCTCTTGAGATCCCATTGATACCCATTGATACCCCATTGATACCCATTGAGACCTCATTGATCCTTATTGAGATCCTATTGATACCCATTGATCCCTATTGAGACCCCATTGATACCCATTGAGGTCCCACTGATCCCTACTGCTACCCACTGAGACCCATTGATCCCTATTGAGATCCCATTGATACCCATTGACCCCTATTGGTACTCATTGAGACCCACTGAGACCCCATTGATACCCATTGTTCCCTATTGGTACCCATTGAGACCCATTGAGCCCCACTGATCCCTATTGAGACTCCATTGATACTCATTGAGCCCCATTGATCCCCATTGATTCCTATTGATCCCCATTAAGCCCCCTGATGAGTGCCGAGACCCCCCTATTGAGACCCCACTGAGACCCCATTGATACCCACTGAGAACCCCCCACTGAGACCCCATTGATACCCATTGACACCCCCCCCTTGAGAACCCCCATTGATCCCCATTGATATCCATTGATGCCCATTGAGACCCCATTGATACCCATCGACCCCCCCCATTGACACCCCCCAGTGAATGGGGACCCCCCATTGACACCCCCCCACTGATGCCCATTGACTGCCCCCAATGAATGGGGACCCCCCCATTGCTACCCCCCCATTGACACCCCCCAGTGAATGGGGACCCCCCATTGATACCCCCCATTAACCCCCATTGACGCACCCCAGTGAAAGGGAACCCCCCATTGATACCCCCCATTAACCCCCATGGATACCCCCTAGTGAATGGGGACCCCCCCATTGATACCCCCCATTAACCCCCATTGACGCACCCCAGTGAAAGGGAACCCCCCATTGATACCCCCCATTAACCCCCATG